TTCAAGGTACCCTTGGAGGTCGGTGTTTTGAGGCAATATTTTTCCCATGAAAGTGTTTGAACCCAAGACAGTAGTCGTCCAAAATGAATGATGGTTGGAGGGAGGATACCCTTCATGGCGTCCGTTTGAAGGCAAACCAAAGATGCAGGGGGGTACAAGGCCCTTTTGGGCTAACAAACGGACCCCAGAAACAACAAGAGGGATCCTGGGAGAGGCACAAAATACTCTCCTGAGTTTCTTGATTTCAATCAAGGCGGTCGAAAAGTAAAAAATATGCTGCAAACTGCCCATGGCAAGGGAGCTCTCGGTCTCCGTGATTCAACGAACAAAGCCCTGGTTGATGACTGCAACATGCCCCGCTTTAGAGGGATTCCGTATCACATTTGGTGGGGAAACACCCTCCAATTTGCTTTTCAGGTTTCATCCGACCATACAAACTGCTATTCTATGTGGGGTTGTGTTTTTGAGGATACGTTTGTTTTGTGGCTTTGAATGAAATGAACAGAAAACCACTTCTTTTTTTGGGGGGCGGGGGTCCCCAAAAAAAAGACACGTGTATGTTCAACCTGCTAGTTCCTTTTGAAATGGGCACACCGGCTATTGGCGGCCCCTGGACGCCCGTTGGAGACAACCGATTTAGACCGCTGCACACCCATCCCCCGCTCTCGACCCACTGCCCCAAAAAATAAAACCAATCCCACGGATTGTCTCTCTCTGAAACTAAGTTTTCTACCCCAACTGCATTTGTTGGTCTGGTTCTGGGTCTCTCTCCCCCCCCAAAAAAAAACCAGCACCCCACCCCCGCCGCTTCGGAACCGGAACCCCGCCGCTTCGGAACCGGAACCCCGCGCCGCTTCGGAACCGGAACCCCGCCGCTTTGGATCCAAGGCGCGAGGTGGCAGTGGGAGTCGAACCACCGCGCCTCCGGCGGCAGATCCGGGCGCTCCGACAGCCGCCGCAGATCCGCCTCTCGATGCTCGGCTCGCAGGGCAACCGGCGGTTGGGAAGGAACCTAGGGATGACAAAAAATAGGCGTGAATAAGGCAGCCAAAAAGGGAAACCTCCCATTTCCGGGGCTCAAATGTTGCATGGATATATATATATATATATATATATGCTACCCCCCCCCCCCAGGGACCTACCTTTTGGCTGCCTCTCCAGTGCATGAATTGCCCATCTAGGACTGGGAGGAACGATCTCTCAACTAGGACCAGGACCAAATGAGACTAGAACCCAGGATCTCTGAACTGGGACTGGGACCAAACTAGGACTAGACGACCCACCTCAGATTCTTACAAAAAATGAACTTCAAGTATAACTTCCTCTGCAATGTCCTGTATATTTTCTAATTGTTGCAGTAAACGAGGGAGCAACCTAACACTAGAACCAAGGATCTCTCATCTAGGACCAAACTAGGACTAGACCATTTAATTCTACTTCTTATAGTATTTGGATGTCAAGTATTACATTCTGGTGGAAAAAAAGTCCTGTTTAATATTTGGTCCTAACATGTAAATTCTGACTGGATATTCTCCTTATTTTAAATTCAATTGTTCAGCTAGAAGTTGCATAGAACTTGACTAATATATTAACTACAATTCATAACGAACTTCCTTTGTAATGTCCTTTATACGTTCTATGTATTTCAGTAAGCTGGGACCATACTTGGCCTATAACCAAGGATCTCCCAACTAGGACTAGGACCAAACTAGGACTAGCTAGTTCTGAAAGTGATTGCATTTCAATGTACAAAGAACATAGTTTGTACCATTTAATTTGACATAAACAGTCAATATTTAAGTTCGAATCTAAATCGTAATTTTGGCTGGAGTATGTCCTTCTTAAGCTCCATTGAATTTCAATCAGAAATAAGGTTGAATTTGATAAAACATACTATGTGGAATGCATAAGGAAAGAATCCAAAGGTCCCAAACTTGTGTCTTTCACTAGTCCTAACACTACACAGTGTTGTGTAGCGTTTTTCATACTCAATTCACATCTCCACCAACGAACGCTCTCTAAATGCTCATTTGAACTTGAACAGGATTTAATTGGGACTCAATACGGAAATATTTGATCAGAATCCTAATGGTAATCAAATTTGAGATTGCGAGTTTAAATAGAGTTCCTTTCCCAATATATACTTGCAATTCAATATGAGCTTTAACAGGATTTGATAAGGAAAGAACCCATATTCTCTAGACAAGTCTTCTTTGCAAACGCGAGTCCAGGCCCGAGTGAAACCCATTGAGACCGACTGAAATTTCAGTTGAGCCTGGGTTCAAGATTCCCTAGAAAACTTTGACCTGCAATCTTGAATGTGGGCCTAGATTGAAACAGATTGAATGAATAATCAGGACTTGGATGCTTGCCACAACACTGTGCTAAAGTACAGCCGCGGAAAGTGCAATGTTGAATTTGGGTCTCGATTTAAACCGATTTAAATCGATTTAAGTTTAAATCGGGCATGGATTCAAGATTCAAGATTCAAGAATCCAGGCCAAACTTTTCCAGGGATTCTTGAATCCAGGCGTCGATTTAAACCGATTTAAACCGATTTAACTTAAATCGGGCATGGATTCAAGATTCAAGATTCAAGACTCCCTGGAAAAGTTTGGCCTGGATTCTTGAATCTTGAATCTTGAATCCATGCCCGATTTAAGTTAAATCGGTTTAAATCGGTTTAAATCGACGCCTGGATTCAAGAATCCCTGGAAAAGTTTGGCCTGGATTCTTGAATCTTGAATCTTGAATCCATGCCCGATTTAAATTAAATCGGTTTAAATCGGTTTCAATCAAGCCTGAAGCTTCCAGAACGTCCTTGGAAATGCGTCTTTTTCATTGCTCTCCCCAAAGCCCAAAAAAGGGTAGAAAACACTGCAAATACCAGTGAATTCATCAAAAAGGTAGGTCCCTGGGGGGGGGGGGGTACCATATATATATATATATACATATATTATGGGATGGTTCGTGGGCTCATTTGTTCATAGGCTGAGAACCAGCATGTGAGAAGAGGCATGTTCATAGTGTTGGTTTCAAGACCTGATGTCCAAGGCTTCACTCCGGACAGATCCGCGCGAATGACTCTTCCTCCCAGACCTCTAGTGGATTTCCGTGGGGAACTCAAAAACAAACACATCCCTTGTCTGCACAAGTTGGAACATGGCATACCTCCAAGAGGACACCTTCTGAGCTGAGCACACTTTTGTCCCATGAGGTCTAAAGCCGAAACAGGACTCCCCGAACGAAAAAAGCAACGGAATGAAGTGTTGCCTTTTAAGATCCTCGGTTGAAAGGAAGAGACCTGCTGGAAGAGGGTTTCCCAACAGAAAACTTCCACAGGCTCCTGACATGTCCAAGTCACTCTGCTTTTGGCGTCTTTTCAAAGGGGAGCGGCCGCTCTGCTGGGGCTTAAACCAATCTAAGAATGGGAAGTGGGCCTCGTCCAAATGTTCCAAGACGGAACGCTTTGCAGCCTTCTCACTTAGCCATCCTGCCGTACCTTGGTCTAGGATCTAAACCCGGCCTGTCATCATTCAGCAAGGGAAAGGGGTGCCAGAGGTTACCATACACTGGCAATCTCTGAAACGAGGAAAGCTTGGTCCCAGATCCAGGCATCTATTCTCATATGACCATTGTTTAAGTTGAAGGCCTTTCCTAATGGCTCACAACGCATCAATATGATTGTATGTGAACACATCTATATATATACATTACATGGTGTTTTCTCTTTTTTTCGTTGCATGCATGTATGTGTGAGTGTGTGCAATGATTGCCTAGTGGCTTGTCTATGTCGTGGAACTCCAAAAGGTGCTAAGGGGATAGGCGGCCATTACTGATTGAATCCTTAACAAGGCCGCTTTGTGACAAGGGAGAGAAGCACGCAAAACCTCTTGACTTTTTGTTCTAACATGCTTGGTGAGGATTATAAGAAGCATCAACCTAATCCCAAGAAGAAAAAACTGCTAGGAACCGAACGCCAATCCGCAAACTGCAAACCCCAAAGCCCAAAACCCCACAAACCAACACAGCTTATAACCTGCCAAAATCGCCAAATGGGACTCGGCGACGCTTTGGCGCCTCGTAGCGCTCCAAAAACGCCCGGCGCGAGCCCGCGGCATAGGCCGCCGCCGACCCCAGCGGCCCGCCGCCAAACCCGCGGCCCTCCGGGCGCTCGGCGCGCTCGGCGCGCGGAGCCGCGCGGCGCCAGCGGCTCGCCGGCGGGGGAGCCGCCGCCATGGCTGAAACGTGGGGGGGGGGGGGGGAAGCGCTCTGACCAAAGTGAGGGGGAGAGGGCAAGAAAATGAACTTGATGCTATGACAAGATGCACAGGGTTCATATATAGCTAGATTCAGTTAGATAGATAGATAGATAGCTGGAAGGACGCATGGATGGATGGACGGGCGGACGGATGGATGGACAGACAAGATAGGATCAGAATAGATCGAAAGGTTATATATATATATATATGTTTATATAGAGATCGTTTCGTGCCATTGTTAAATATGTGGTTGCTTCAATTCGCTTCCAAGTTGGTGGCCACCTGATGTGCGAGGATAGTCAACTTGCATCAAAGAGCTGCGGTTGCATTCAAGCTTGCGGATGGCTTCCGCGAGCGAAGCTTTGGTCTGAGACTGTCATCACCTGGTCTGAGTGACACGAAACCACAGGCGTTTACCCAGCAACACATCGCACTGTTGCTGCCAGCTTGAAACCGACCAACCAGGAACCCATAGCCCATTTGGGACTTAAGCCGCACCTGGAACAAGTCTGTGTCCTGTTTGGGCAACCCAGACAGGACGCCAAACAGGAGTGACATCCTTGAGCCTGCTCTCTGAATGGATTCAAGGGAAACCGCCCTTTGGCTGAGCGGTTCGGGTCCAAAGAGGAACCTTCCCCCACAATAAGTCGACCCAGCTCTCCAAATGGTGGCTTCAAGGGAAACCACCCTTCGCCTGAGTTCGAACCCCCCCGCCCCCCCGCGAAACCAGCAGCCGGCCTCGTAGAGCTGCTGTAGGCGCTGGGCGGCTTGCTGCTCTGTGCGGAACTGTTCCTGGTGGGACAACCTTTCTGCAGCGCGTGGTTCCCCGTCGTGGCCAAGTAAGTCGTCGCTTTTTGACAATGAAGTCAAGATAAGCGGTGAACGTTTCCATGCAAGGGATGATCGCCCGCAAAAAGCAGCGCCGAAATTAATGAGCTCGCGCTGTTGTTAGTGGGCTATAACCCGGGCTACGCACCTTCTCAGTTGGCCGAACACGCAGGGGTCGTTGTCAGTGAGCGCCATGTTGGGGTAAACTGTGCATGGGATGCGGACGTCCTTGTGGGTGTGTTGGTTGAGTGTCCCACATAGTGCTGTTGGGTGTTACTCCTTGCGGGCTGTCTTTGCTTCTTCCAAGACATAGGTTGAGGACAAGGGCGGAGAGGTTTGTGCTGAACATGTAGGATGGCGATAGTTCGGAGATTTGGTTGGTCATCCACAGTGAGTGTGCTGTGTTTGTTCCAGCACTGAGGATGGATAAAACCCTGGGACAAGTCACCTACAAGCTGGTGCGAAGTGGAGTATAGAGTAGCAAGATCCCCAGAAAAGATAATGTGGGCATGGTGTTGAATTGTGGATTCTCCGTGGACAGCATTCAAAAATGGTGGGGATTCATGTAATCACTTTTAAGGTGGTTCCAACTCTTAAGATTCATAGCCATTGAATTATGTCTTCTCTCACTTCCCGAGTTCAACCACTGTTTCTTTACCAGACAAGTCAAGTCCAACTTGGGCAACGAATCTGGTCTTCTCGGCCGTGTAGCTTCGGTCCTCCAGGGTTTTCGCCGCCAGGCGCGCCAGCTCCACGTTCTCAAAGGCTTCATCGGCCTCCTGAGTTCGTCGGGTGACTCAAGCGGATTCTTCCTTGGCCATGGGTTAAGCGCCGCGTATGGAGTGATTCAAGCGGAAATAAGCGCCGTGTATGGAGTCTCGGAGTTGCTTCGGGTCTCAGGGAGCGATTTAACCTCTCACCATGGCTTGAACCAAACTGTTGCACAAGGGCGAGAGAGGCAGTGATTCAGCTAAAGGGAGGAGTTGGTTTCAACGTTTACCAAGCCGCGTCAGGTGCTTCCTGGGTACAAACCTGCACATCACAGTGTCGTGTCCCAGCCAAGAGGAACTGGTAGAAAGGCGGGCGACAAAAATCCTTGCCTAACCTCTTCGAAAAGGAATCATGCCTTTCACACGCGGGTCTGTCCTTTTTAGGGTAACCCCCTAAATTGGTGGTTTCCTTTTAATCTCTCGTTGAAGCGACCCAAAAGATGGTACCCGCCAAAAAAACCACACCCACATTTGGCGCCCTGGTCAATGTTTGTTTCGCCGCAAGCACAAGGGCCCCGTGCCTCCCGCAGGATCTGTACTTCTTCCTGCAGGGAAAGCACCTCGAGGCTCACCGGCCTCCGAACAGCTGCGAGATGCACTCCACTCTGAGGTCATTGCATCATTTTGGGTACCTGTTCGACTTGGTTTAGAGGGAAACCAAAGGAAAGCAACCTTTTTTGGTCCTCCTTTTTGATTTGGCTTTTGAGGGCACCAAATCTCACTTTGGTTCAAAGGGAAACCCAAGAGGAAGCAAGCACATTTTGTTAGCCAGTTAGTGAGTTGAGTTCTGAGTGGTAAAAGTCGAAAAGTCTACCGAACCGTATGGCCGGATGCCGTAACATGATGCAACACTCACCACAGTTAGCTGAACATGATCCTGATCCGCACAGCAATCCGTCCAACGAATGGCACTTGGCAATTCTTGTCCACCGAATCAGTATGCCGATGTGTTGTGTTGGTTCATAGCTAAGCCCCCACGTTGAGAAGCCAACGCGGGAAAGAGTGACACAAAGGAACGAGCGAAGGTGTGCAACCTGCAGCCACTCCTCCGCAGTTTACCATAGAATCCAAAAAAAACACCAGAAATCTCCTCTCTAGGAACTGCGAACGGGCAGGGTTCCAAGAACCCCACCAGCTGAGGAAAGGGACCTTTGCGGAGATGATGCACATCTCTGAGAACAGGTCTGCCTGCGTTGCATGTTCTATCTTACCAAAGTATCCTGCTCATTTTCGTGCACCTTCCATGTTGCATCTTGCGTGTGGTACAAATTCTTTCAGACGAACCTGGAAGCTGTACGTCGACCAGCACTATCGCCCGAGAACTGCAAGAAGCTGGCTGCTTCACGCGGGGCGCTCGCCCACTGAGGAAGCAGAACAACCCAAAAAGGCCTAGCCAGCGCTTCAAGGAGCAATCCTAGACCGTCCATTTGGAATCCATTGATTCAGAATCCAAAACACAAGGGTCGCCTTAAACCAATGCGGTTTGAATTCCGCAAAAGGGCGCTCCTGGGTACATGCTGACATGAATCCGTGTGGCTGAGCGTCAAAAGAAGGAGTTTGATCCTGAAAATGGCGGTTCCTTGTGGTTTCTCACGTGGGACACCAAGCCGAAGATTGGCCAATGAGTCCCCCTTAGTCGGCCCGAAAATCAAGCCGTAGGAAACCACTTGTTTGGGTGTCTTCTTTTGGAGGAGCCCCTTTTGGTTGGTATTAAAGAGGGAAACAAAAGAAAACCACTATGTATGGCTTTTTTCATTTGGGAGGGGGGATAAGACGAACCCATTCCGGTTTCAAGCAGAAAGATGCTGGGGCGCAGACTCCTTGTGCTTGCCGGGCCACCGCCTAGAGCGCAAGGGGATCAAACTCAAAGACCACGCGCAAGGCTTTTGTCGGCCAGATGTTTTGGCGTCTTTGGCATTGGGCTTGAATTTGAATTTGCTGGCCCTTCTTGGCATTTTGTTTGAACTTCTTGGCCCTTTCTGGCATGCCTTTGGCAAGCTGCTTGCCTTTTGTTGGCAGGGTTTGCTGTTGGCATTTTCTTGGGCCCTGAAAGCATTGGGCTTTGTGCCGGGGCTCCCTGGCCAGAAGTGGGGCGCGGCTCAATGCCCAGTTGGAGGAATTCGGGAGTTGATCAGTATATGCACTACTCGCATCGGGTTTCATCCATCCCTACATGTCCTAAGATTGGAGTCCGTTGGGAAACCGGCTTCAAGGAAAACCACAAATCGCAGGCGCACTAATCAGCTGACAAGTCAATCGGTGAGGAGAGCCCTGCGGAACATGGAAACCAACTCAACATTTTTTGTTGGGGGTGGCCCTTGGTATTGGTAGAAAAGCTGATAGAGCTGGCTTTCTGCTCGAAGCAAATACATCCAAGAGGCGGTCCCCAATTCTGGTACAGTTCCCTTGAAAAATCCACCTGATCTTCATACTACACAAGGCCACAAGACCATTACCTGCTCTTGTCCTGCGACCATCTGCAGGCATCCAGCTCTGATCAAAACACGGGACCGACATACACGCATACACATGCGCGATCGCCCTGTTATTGAATGGACCGATCCGAAGTGGAAAAAAAGAAAACATGCACAACTTGGCATAGGGAAGAATGGACCCTGAGGTTCTAATACAGCCCTGTCCTTGAGTCCTTAAAACGCTGCGCAGCTGTCCCCGAGCTTGATCCGATTCAGAAGTCTTTTCAGTTGCCCAAGGGTTTTCCTATTACACCCGACTACGCCCTCTGGAAAATCACCCTATTCCAGCCTATGTCCAAATAAGGAAATGTGTAACAAAAGTATGCCTGGAATGTGGTGGGCGGGGCACCTCGCTATGTGTTGCATTGACAATGTGGAGGTAATTACTTCGCTTTTTAAAAGCAAGTCAGGTTGAGGGCCAGCTGTAGGTCAAACGAAAGTGCAAAGAGGCTCTGCCAAAGGTTTATGGACACCTGTCGGGCTTCTCAGTTGTCCAGTTTGGACCCCGAAATAAAAGGTTGACCTTTTGGGACCTGTACTACCAGTCCACCTAAATTGGACAACAAAAAGCGCTGGCACCAGGAAGAGCCAAAAAAATGAGAAGCAGGGTTGACCCACGAGAAAGTGGGTCAGCCAGGGTTAGACTGAAACCCAGTCCATTTCCCCACAAGGGAAACTGGGGTTACGTCTACCCCGGAGCCAAAAAAATGCGTTACCCAGGTGCAAACCAGACTCTGAGCCGCCCGGCAGCACGGCTGCCCGGGGCATTCATCCGGCATGGCGAATGCCCGGCTTGCCCCAACACCAGGCGCGGCCGCGACGTGTGGCAACCACCAAAAAGTGTCTGTGGGGGACCGCCAAAAATGGCCGAGTGTTGGAAAATCCGCGAGTTTTTGCTTAAAGTGGCCTGTGGTGTCCAGCTGCGGTTTGCAATTTTGACCTGTGAAAAAGGATACCGAATTTGGCAAAGCTACCCCCTTTGAAAAGATGCTGCCTAGAAACCCTGGTGGGTGAAGCTGACGGCTGCCAGATCTGCAGTTGTGAGCGAACCTGGTTGGGCCTCGAAGTCGTTGGTTAAGGTGATGCGGCTTGACTCGGGCTGCGGATTTGGCAGGTTTGTTTGGAGCTGCATCAGCCTGGGACTGGTTCGAAGGTCCAAAACTGCCACTAAAGGACCCAACATTAAAGCACCCGTGAAAAAGTGGTTCTCGCTATTGACTACAATTCACCGCTGACTCTGAGCCAGAGAATCTCACAACCGCAGCGTCGCGCAGCTCGCAAGGTGTCCAATATTCGCGATCTGCGCCCTTCAAAGGGTCAAAATGAGTCAAAATGAACGGTGCGGCCCCTGGGTGAACTTCGGTGCGATTCTGGTCCACCAACACTTTGGCCTGAGGGTGACGCATCACCTGGAGCTCGCCGCATCTCGCGGGGAATCGCCGCACGTGTTTTCTTCCTGCATGGGCACCGCTGCGACTAATGCTTGACCTGGCTATGCTCAACTTTCGACAAATACGGAGGGGTCGAAGACCGGGCTGCAAAACAAACCTTGTGTCGGCCCCTCGAAGAATCGCCACATTGCCGTGCAGTGGAGCATGGGAGGGCAAGCTAATGCCCGGCCTGTGAGACATGCCTCCCGGCGCTGTCATCCAAAACGCGCCACGGAGGCATGGTCAGCTGGCCTTGCAGGCTGCAACTCTCAGAGCCTTTACCCGGTTTATCCATTTGGCAGGTGCTTGGAAACTTCCAATTTTATTGCTTGGTGTCTAGCATCCCTGCAAGCCAGCCCATGACAACTCTCTCCCCCGCCAGACAAATGGATTGCCTGGCCCAATGTCGACCCCAGATGCATCAAGCTTGCAAATCAGGGTGATACCAATGGAAGGCCTTGCAATGGTGCATTCTCTCTTTGAAGAGGAGGTTCTCCGGTATCAAAGAACCCGCCCTCATCCCCACAACCCTGTTGCAAATCAATGGAGGGATACTTCCACAGAAGTTTGCCGGCTTGCAAAGCCCACAGGGTGCTGCGCTTCTCAGTGCTGAAATTTTCGAACGAGAACCAATAAGGAAACCGCCCCGTTTCGGAAGGGGACCCCCATTTTCAGAACACACTCTTGACGTGGAGCGCATGTCACCCATGCTCGAAGATGCTATGAGCGGCGAACGAAAAATCATTTTTGCTGCCCCAAGACTCGAGGACATGGGCAAAATAGGGTGGGCGATCTGGTTTTTGTGGGGATTGTTCCAAACCCACAGTTCACTAGAGCTTTGTCAGTCGCTCACATGAAAATTACCAAGGGACGCGTCCTGGCACAAAAAGGGTGCGCCACTTCCGCAAGCAGCTCATGAAAATTATGGACGTAAAGTGTATGTTCCTTCCCGACCATTCAGCAGGTGGTGGGCCGCCAATTCCGCCAACAGACTCTCAGATGTTTCTCAAAACACAGAATCCAAAAATCGCCTCATTCACCAGAACAGCCGCTGGAGACAGCTTGCGATGATCATATCCGATCCACAGCCTTTTTCTTCTCCTCCTTCTCCTTCGCCTTCTTCGCCTTTTCCTTCTCCTCAGATTGGGTCAAGAGCTCCCTGCAACTCACAGTGCTCTTCGTCCTAGTCACCAGGAAGCCAGATTGGCTTTTGGCCTAATCACCGGGCCTGGGGGGTTCACCCCCCCACATCTAACAGCACGCAGGTGCCCGACAAATGCACTTCGCAGGGCTTTTTATGTGTAGCTTGTTTGGGCAAAGGTTTCACCCCCTCCCCCCCAAGGATCTAACCGTTTGTTTGGCTTTTTTTTTGTGTAGCTTGCTTGGGCAAATACTTCGTTCCGGAGCGTATTTGAACGTGACCACCTCAACCCGACAGCTTCGGGATTTGACACAAAGGCCGGACTTCCCTGGGGATGGTGACCATGGTTCCTTATGGAATCTAAGAAAACAAACCCGCCACGGTCTGTTGTCTCTTTTTAAGGGGAAAAAACGTGTCCTGCTCTTCTAACTTTGACACAAACCCAAATGAAACTCGGCAGCAACTGTCAGCAGCTGAGGCTGCCACGTCCTTCTTCACCAGAACCTCTGCCCTGGCAATCGAATCGACTGGTCGTGCCCAGTCAGGCATGGTGCACTGTGAAAGCCGTCCTTTCTGAGCATACCAGCGCCTCGCCTGTTAATCACAAGCGTCAAGTAAACAGCCTCACTTAGTTTCATGGCTCGGACGTGCTATAAAACGGAGACAGTGACAGTGTTGTCACAAGTCTGCGCTGAGGAACATTTCTAGGCCCCCCCCCCAACGAAAAAAACACCACGCATACTTCCTTGCCATCGTTTTGTTTTGTTTGGCAGATGCTTCTTCGGGTACCCTCAAAAAGAAACTTGGTGGGTGACCCTCAAAGCAACCTGGACACGTCGCAGGGACCCTGCGTCCTGTAAAAGGCAGCCGTTTCGCAAGCAGCAACTTATTTAGTTGACCCTGTGTGTACCTGTTGGTCCCAAAAGAAAAAGTTGGGTGGTGACAGAACTTGGGGTTGCCCAGGGATGGTTGCTTTTCCAAGGGAAATTCCTGGGTTTAAGTCTACCGTGTAGTCAACAACGTAGCCCCTTCAGGGTTGACCCTTCACTCTATCAGCGTTCTGGCTGAACCTTCTGTGTGCGTTGATCATATTCATTACAATAATCTGAATCAACTTAGTGGGGGTTTGGATCGGACGCCCCAAAAATGCTCGGCTTCCTTTTGGTCCTATACCAAAACGAGGTCCGCCCTGAGAAACCAAGAAGCCGTCCATTTGTATCGCCCGGACAATGATTGGCTCCGAACAACCATACGGGGCTTCACACCTCATTTGTCTCAACATCCCCCTCCCCCTCTTTAAACCAACCACAAAAGGGGTACCCTCCCCCAGACCAACATGGAAAATGGAAGCTCCCAGGTCTTATTTGGACGACTTGGTTCCATTTACAGGATCGGCCTTCTGGGAGCTTCCATGGAATCGTCTGAGGGCGTGTACCTCAAAAAAGGACAGACCCACTTGGAGCAACTTCTCTTCCAAGCGCGGCGGAACTGGCTCGTTGGCGTCGATGTCTTTCTGGCCCTTCTTCACAAAGACAGCCACGTTGTTCACGTACCGGGGCCCGCGCTCCTGGAACTCCGGGCGGAACTCAAACAGAAACCCATTGAAAGGAAACACACCATCTTTTGGTGTTCCAAACTCATCTGTGTGGGTTGTGAGACTCAAAACCAACAGAAAACATCCCAACCAAAAGGAAACTCCTTTCAATCCTGATGTCAAAACCACTCGCAAGGGGAAAAATATGGCCCCCTGTCCGTTCGGGACTTCCCGCGAAGCGCCACCGTCTTGGTTCGTGGAGTTGGGTGTGTCATCCGCATGGCTTGGGTTTTAGGCGTGGCAAGAAGGAAGCGAGGTGGGAACCCAACAATCAAAGGTGTAATTTTGGCAAAATAGATGAATGGCCCTCAGGGTTTATAAAACCAATCTAAGCCAGTGAAACCCATCCCTTTCAAACTAACCTAATCCAAAGAGGACACCTAGTACCACGCCCTTGCAGAACTCCGATTTGCTCTTTACCAAGTTGGATACCAGCTGCACAAGGGCTCCCTTCCAACCAGCTAGCCAATGCCCAGCCATTTCCCAGCTTCCCCTGCTTAGCTTCGCCGCTTTTTGAAGCTCGCGGCTTGGCGCCTAGCGCCAGACCCCAAATGGCAGAACACAAATGGCTGTGGGTCAAAAATAGGGCAACCCCAAAATGGAACCCTGGTAAATGGAAAGGACTAAAACCTGCGGTCCCCTGGTGGTTTTATTTCATACCCAAATGGCGTTCAGCTGAGGCACTGTAACCTCGATCTGAGGACTGCCATCCGAGACCGAGAAAGTAGTTGCTCCCCTCTGTCAACTCACTCTCTGCAGCCCTCCAAATACGCCCCAAACAAGATTGCTTGTTCCCCCCCCCCCCGGTGAAACATTGGGTGTTTCGGACCCCCCGACGTTTGCGGGGTCTCCCTTCAAGTAGTCTCTCTGCACCAAAGAGCTAAACCCCTGTTTACGAATGCGCCCCTATTCGAGCACAGGGCAGGCCGCAACAATTGATCCCCCCAATTGACAAACCAAGTGGCTTCGCAAGTTTCCCTAGTTGTGCCTGGATTGCCTTGAGCCGCGGAAGACGCACACAAGCGTGGCTCGCTTCAGGCTAGAAGACTTAAGTCATTGTTTGAAGCGGTTGGACCCGGGCGCTTCCCGAGAAGAACCTAGGCCATCCCTGCCATCAGCTTCCATTGGAGGGAGGAAAGCTGAGATTTCTGGCCGCGGTGAAAACCTCCGTAGCGAGCGGATTTCCTGTGCCGCAAGCTCTTCATCCATCTTCTGCCTCCCAGGGTTGAGCTGGGTCTGGCTTCAAAATGAGACTGGCCGGAAGCCTAAAGGAAAACAGCCTTTCTGGGAAGGGGGCCTAACAAAGACACAACCATATGGTCTCAACATTGAGAAACCTCCGTACAGATATAAACAAGACCAACAACAGCTTGAGAAACACCCATATCCACTGACGGGAGCCTGGCACTTCTATCCTTGTGAGTCTTAGGTCAGTCAACAAGTCGTTGGGTGGGTGTAGGAGAATTCGGAGAAACGAATCGCCCAGCCCGGTGCAGTTTCCGGGGAGGAAATCAACAAATCTGGTTCATTCAGCCAGTGATTCGGAGAAACACATCACCCATCCCGTGCAGTTTCCTTGCCAGAAAACATCAATTCCTTTTCCTTGCTGGTGCTCAGTAGAGAATGACCCATTGTGGGAATGAACCTAACCTCGGGATTCCCTTAAAGGAAACCATAGGCAAAATTCCAACTCATTCCCAGAAGCAAGTGTCGGACGCCTGATGAGATGCACGCTGCACCGCTTGTTGACGATGTTCCTCTTGCGGCTCTTCCTCGGGGACCGACCGAGCCGCACGGCAGAAAGCACCGGCGAGCGATTCGGCACGCGATTGGATTCGTAGGACACCAGAGGCCGGGCGTACCCCAAATCGCCCCAAATTGACCATAGGAAACTGTCCCCATGTGCGAAATATGTGTCCCGTGTGGGTATCAATACTAGCTTATTTGAAAAAAAATGCTGGACATCAGTTGGGGCTTCATGTTATTCCATGGTGGCTCCAAGAAAGCCAGCTGTCGCAAGGCCTCAAGGCCCAGGCTTCTTCTTGGAGTCCTCGCCCTCCATGGCCACTTCCACCATGCGCCTCGCCTGGGGTTTTCGTCTTCGCTGGGGTCCGGTGGCTGCAGTTTCGCTCGGCGTTCGGCTTTCGGCTTTCGGCTTGGACCTGGAAATACGAGGCTCAGCTTTTGGGGCCGAATCTTTGGTTCTAAGGGGAAACCAAGGTCCGAGCCAGTTGGATGCTTCGATTGGCTCAGCCCAGTTTGGACCTGGGGCCAAACCAAAAGGTCAGCACCGATTATGTTTCCTTTTGGCAGTTTCCCTTCTACAACTGATAGACCGCCCAAAGGGGTGTCCTTTTTCTACCCGCGTAACTGGGTCTCACTCCCTGAGTTTATGAACTTTGTACTTCTTGGACCCCGAGAAAAAACATCCCTATTGAAAGCTTGCTGGTAGGAGTTGGAATGAACGACACTAAACCCATGTCCTACAGTTTCCTTGGAGTGGAAATCACTCGTTTGACCCCTAAAACGACGCACACACAGGAAGATCAAGGTCAACCTGACGATATGGAAACCTTGCTTTTAGGCTGAGTTTGGCAACAACCAGGTAACCAAGTGAGACTGATTGTTCGTAAACCCTTGCTCGTAATGGCACCAATAGTTGCCATCAATGTCATCAAGGCAGTTCTTATGACCTTTCAAGAATTCTCTGGAGCAGTGCTCTTTGCTCCTAGAAAGAACAACCCGACAGGAAGGATACTCCTTGTGCAGGATGCAAGGGTTCCGTCAACGTGACATCAGACAAACAGCATGTTGGCACCTTCTGGAAGTCTGGAAGCAGCGATCTGCAGGGCATTACGCTGCCTGCATGAATGAAAGCCAGGGTTCCTTGGTGCTAATTTGACCCGGAAACCATCAGGAAACCTGCCATTTGTCGGCTATCCGGATTCCTTTCAGAGATGCCCATTTTAAGGTTATTCTAATGAATGATGCAAAACTTCAGCTTCCCACTGATTGCTGGCTTGGATTGGTGGCTTGGTGATTACTTGTGGTTCCCAATTTACCCTCTACAAGAACCAGGGGTTCGAAACCCCAAACCACCAATCCAAACCACCAATTAAGAAACACTTGAACGGAATGACATGCCATGCCAAGCCTCCATGAGCTCTAAAGTCCTCTTTGCTGCCTCCTTCCGGTCCTTTTCCAGCTCAAAGGCCTTGCAGGAAACCCGCCTCTACCCCACATTGATGTGTGCCAAAGGCAAACCCAAAAAGAATTGGAGAGGTAAGGGAGCCTTAAAAAACACTGCCATGTTGTGTTTGCGATGTGAACAGCTTTCCAAAGCGTGTGGCAACAAGTGTTTAAAGTCAAAACTGGCCTTTTCCCTTTTGCTCTAGAAATTCTACGCCCCTGAGTTGTCGCAACTCCGGTGTGACCGTAACAACACTGAGGGGGGTTTAGCCGCAAGAGCAAAGTGCCAAATGGCACATGGGATGGCAGCTCGACCTGGACGGCGAATGGAAGGCGTTGGTCCACATTGCAGGGCCATCTCGCCCAATAAGATGTAAGATGTTTCTCAGCGAAAACGGCTCAGATCCCCAGTTCCCAATCCAATCCCCCAAGAGAAGGGTCCCATGTCTTGGCCGCGGGAATCGATGTGCAAAGGAGCCCACAGGAGAAAACACCAAGAAACAAAGAGCGAGCAAGCAGGCAAGCAAGCAAGAAACAAACAGGTAAGAAACAAACAAAGCCAATCTAGATGAAACCCAATCATAACCAAAGCAGTGCCAAAGCAACCAGCCGAAACCAAACCGGCCTGGTCTTTCTTGATGGCCTTGGCCTTGGCTTTGGACTTGGACTCCTTGGGCTCCTTTCGTTCGCCGGGCTGGGCTTGGTAGGGACCCCTTGAAGCTGTCTGCCTCGTTGACAGGACTTTGGTTTTGAGGGTACCCTTTTTTTCAGGGTACCTCATGTTTTTTGGAGTGAGTTTGGTTCAAAATAGATGGGATTCACTGAATAGATGGGGGTTCTTCCATTTGCCTATCCGAAGGCCACCTATGGTTGAAAGGGATCATGATATAGACATCCGCCATTCTTGGGGTCCGCCGGTTTTGACACATACCCAATCAGCGTTGGACCATTTGGACATCATCTTGCGGGGCTTCACCACGTCCGAGCATTTAAGAAGTCCATCAAACTTCATAGCCACATGGAAGTTCACCAATCTGCAAATTTATAACATGTCCAAAAGCTGAACTAAAAATCGGATGCTTTGTCATGGCTATGGCTCGGTGATACCCCCGAAGCGGTGGGCTCGCGTCCTGACATCAGCAGACCAATCCATTGACATGCTCCATGTCGAACCCCAAAGATCTTGGGCCACTTCGCCAAGGAACGCGGGCTTCCCCATCTCTTCGACCCACAAAACTCCCAGATAAAGTTGCCCTGCACACATGAAGCTGGCTTTTTGCTTTGTCCCAGTGATGTTTAAGACCAAAAAGGGGAATATCGGGAGATGACAATGGAGTCCACTAGAATATCTCTCAACCTTCACCAGGCTAAAGCTGCAAATGTCTTGATAGCCCAACCCCAAGAACCCTAAGAAACCCCGAGAAAAAAAAGAAGGAAAAAAAAGAAAAAAATACCCTAAGAAACAGTATATCTCTTGGACCAAAACCCCGGTGGATTCCCACTCTGAGCCAAGTAAACAGTCCTGGGCGTCCTTCTCCCCCTTCCGGGTCTGAGCCTGGCGAGGCAATGCTCCCGAGAAAGCTGAAGCTCGGGCGTGGCTCAAAAATCGGACATGGAACCCCATGGATTTTGTTGTTTTTTAATTGTTCTTTTTTTGGGGAAGACTAGACATCTTGAGCCACACCTGTTCGGCAAAGTTGTGGTGTCTTTTTCAGGAGGGTTTCTTTCAGGGAGGGTTAAACAAAACATCTAAGTGAAATAATGTGTGTGTGTGTGTTGTTGCTAGCTTGCAGAATCCTTCACAGCACAATTGCATGATGTACTCTCCTATTCTTCTTTCGTGGCAGGCAAAGAATGTGAACACTGCCAGACATATGGAGCAGGCAAAGTTGCATGGTTGGTCTGAACAACCGCACTCTTCCCTTGAAGGGTGTCAGAAGGATACTGTCCGAACAATGGCCACCACCAATGAACATAGAACCGACGTTCAGAATCCCACTTTCCGACCCCAGAACCCTGGCAAGCATCAAGCCCTGGCAAGCACAGCCTCCCCCCTCCCCCCACTCCAGCCACTGGCAACTCGACAGCGCCTGGATGCCCTTCACGATGTTCAGAAAGCCGCCGGGGTCGGAGTCAGAGGAATCGTCCTACTCAGCAAGAGCCTAGAGGTGGCTTCTAGTGGCTTCGAGGTGTGGAGTTGCGGGGTTGGAGGTCTGGAGGTTTGCAAGTTTTGGAGGCTTGGAGGGAAGTTCTTTGGGCTTGGATTAGCGGTTTCCAGGGTCAACCACTCAGTGGCTTCAGGGTCCTCAACCCCCAAACCTGACACCCTGGTTTGGCTGCCATCTGCGGGCTGAAGGCTGTTAATGGGAAAGGCACAAGCTGAACCACATTGAAATCAACCAATTGGGTGTGCGGATTTGGGGGTACGCCTTTCTTATGGCTTTAAGGACCATTTTGGGGGTCCCCTAAAACATGACACCCCACCTAAAGGGCCCCTGCAAGGCGGATCGAGTCCTGTGGATAGCCCCCCCTCCGAAGTGTGTTAGTTTTTGCTCCTGAGCATAGGTGTCCTTTCGGGAAGATAGATGGCCCCTTTATTTCTCAATTGAACCGAACAAAAAGGACAGCAAGGAGAAAAAAGAAATGGGGGGGGGGCTTCCATGTCCCCTCGGGAAACCAAGAGGATACTTATTTGAAACACGCCCAGATATCTTTTGACCCCAGGAAATAGCGGGTAGCTGTACGAAAGGCGCCATGGCCCAATAAAAACCGCAAGCCGTCCTCGTCGCTGTCCGGCACTGCCGGCCGCGCCGCGAGCGGTCGCGCCCGCGCCGGCACGGGCGTCGGGGGCCGCGGGGGAGCCTCCGGCGGGCGACGGTTTGCCTTCCGCGCAGAATCGAAGGGTCGCTAGCCTGGTGCGTCCTCGATCCAATGCAAGATTTTAAAATGAGACGCATAAATCCCTCCGAGCTCTACTTGAGAAAGGAGGGGCGGGAGGAAGGTGGCACGCAGGTCGTTGCAATGCAAAACGGCCCGTTTGCCTGCTAGAGTGGCCACGCCGCATGCCACTCCAGCCAAAGAACTTCATTCCTATCAATTCAAAAGCTTCTTTTTTCGAGATGCACCTTCCGGAACAAGCAAAAAAATGTCTAAGTCCACGGGGGCTGGGAGCCGCCATGGCAACCCATGCCCTTTGCGGCTTGCGACCCAAGCCTCCGAGTCCTCGCCCGAGTCGTCGCTCGCAAGGTCGTCGCTGTCGCTGCTGTCCGAGTCCTAGGAGACAGCAATGGAAGCCGTGGGATGCCCTTGAACATGGCTTCTGAAAACTGGGGGATGCCCCTTAGTCCCAGAAAGGAGCCTCACAAGAAGTAAACCCTGCAAGGAAAAGCACGACGCATCATTACAAACTGAAGATACATATCTGCTCACTCTACTGACCCATTCGCAGAAAAGCGAACCACATACGTCAAGCTACTACCAAGAGCAAACCCGGTGTGAAGCGGAAAGGCCAGACACTTTGTGTCCTCATCGGTATCCGGAACATCTGGCGAGGCGTCTGGCTCCGCCTGCGTGGCATCAGAGTCTGGGCCGGTCGCAGTGTCACTTCGCTCTTGCATTATGCATGTTTGTTGCCAGAGCGGTGACCGGAAATCAACCCAAACTGCCAGGCCTGAGGCGTCTTGGCTGTACCAGATCCTCCTTCAGCTTTCTTGCGGTTCAGCAAGTTGATCAAGCCTGAGCTGGCGTTCTGCCGAAAAAATAGAATAAAAATGCTCTAGTTCTTTGCAGTCCCTCAGCGCAGTCCCAGACACGGTCTTTCAACTCTGTCTTCTTTGCTTCTCGGGCTTGAGAGGAGTCCTGCACTGCAATGACTAGTGCACGCCCGGATGCCGCAATCTGATGGCTGGACGTCTAGGTGCATCTCTGACTACAAGAACAGACACCCTGAACAGCCAAGACCAAGCCAAAAGGGTCAGTCGGTGTCAGCCAAAAAAGCACTCGCACACATCGAGGTACCAAGAGTGCAACTGACATAAAGCGACAAGGCCAAACACGTCCGCGCCGGATATCCAAGACTAGTCATCCAGCACAGTCCTCGTCTGCATCCGGCACCACTGGCCGGGCTGTTGCCGCCTTTTGCACTGGCTCCGGGCCGTTGCCGTCCTGGCAGATCGTCAAGCAGGGCACAGCGCTCTCTCCCAACCACTCGTGATTCATGCGGCAGCTTCACAATGCCAAAGCTATGCAATCATACCTGAAGCTCTGAACCTCATGCGCATTCATGCGCCGATTTCAGCCAGGCTCCTCCACTTTGTCCCCCGGCTCGGGTGAAGTCTCAAGCGCCGACGTGTCTTTCGGCGCCGCTGCGGTGTGCGGCTCCGCCTGCGCGGCATCCGAGTCTGGGCCCCTCGCAGCGTCCCTTCCGTCACTGTTGGAATGTTGAAACTGCAGCGACATGCTCGCATCATGTCATTGCCATTGACACTGTGTTGCAACAGCAGTGCAACGAACAAAAACAAACCAAGGTCCAACAACCTGACAGGCCTGGTCGTCAGTATCCGGCACCACTGGCCGGGATCCGACCACCTTTGGCGTTGGCTCCGTGGAGTTGTCGCCGTCCTGTGCCATGCAGTTTGTCAAGCAGCCGGCTCAAGCGCAGTTTCCCCAACCCCCGTGATTGGCATATCTGCAGGAGCAGCCTCACCATGCCAAGGCTACTCGTGAAGCTCTGAACCCCATTTCAGCAAGGCTCCTCTGCTTTGGCCCCTGATTCGGGCGAAGTCTCAAACGCCGACTCGTCTTTCAGCGCCGGCGGGGCCTCTGGCTCCGCCTGCGTGCGCCCGTGGCGTCGCTTGTGCACTCCGCGACACGTGAAGGAATAGGTGGAGATCTTGCATCAGCACTGCTTGCCTTTGAAATAAGTCAGAGTTGGGAATGTTGAAATATCCGGTTCCTGCAAAAGACTCCCGACAGCTACTCCGGGCGCGAGGTGAGCCACGGCCCTCTCTTTCCGACTTCCCCCCCTTCACTGAAAGGAAGGAAAGGATTGCGGTTCTGATAAGGGAGTCTTGTTCGCACAATGCAACCGCGGCGCCCAGAAATCAACCCAAGCTCCAACAATCTGACAGGCCTGAGGCGTCTTCGCTGTACCAGACGCTCCTTCAGCTTTCTTGCGGTGTAGCAAGTTGACCAAACCTGATCTGACGTCACTCAGATCGGTGCACACGTCAGAATGCAGCTGTAACAACATCTCAGTCTGACGATGGGTGTCTTCCTACTCTGCCGGCTTCCAACTGAAACATGGTCAACCACATCTTCGTTGATCGTTGATTATTCCATTGGGATATGTTATAAATCCCCTCTCTCTCTCTCTCTCTCTCTCTCTCTGCTCTAAAAGTCTAAGAGTCGTAAAGTAAGGCTGGTTTGTTGGCTGACCTCCATTTGCTCAAGTCCCCTGGAGAAAAAAAAAAGAAAAAACTATTTCCAGTAGTGATAGATTCCCTTTAAAACCAAAAGGGAAAAATATTCTTAACCAAATGGAAGCTGACCAAAACCCCACTACCCGCCCATGATCTAAGTCACAGCTCGCAAGACTCGATGGAGAGATGTGAAAAGATGGCAAACAAACCAACGGTTTACCCTCCGACCTGAGCTGACTGGCCCAAAAACGCTTAAACTTGTTGGTCCTCCACTAGAATGAAAAAAGTCATTTTTTGCCCACTCAGCGGGCTAGTTGAAGTTTGGTCAGTGGTTTGAGGCGAGAAACCTATCGTAGTGCAGTCCAAGGCACGGTTCTTCAGCTCTGCTTTCTTCGCTTCTCTGACTTGAGAGGCATCCTCCTGCCAAATGAAAAAAGGACTCAAGTCAACCAGCTGGCAGGTCTCCGTGGGGTGTAGTTTTAAAGCCCAAAGTGGATGCTAAAGTCAGATCTTGACCACCTAGGGTGTCCGAATTGGCTGTCTTCTGATGTTGCACCTGTTTCACCAGTGCCTCAGCCGGCTTGGCTTCTGCAGCCAAGCGCTCTTCCTCCGCTTTCCTGGCTGCCTCCGCTGCCTCCTTGGCACGCTGTTCCGCCTCCACACGCCTGGCTTCTGCAGCTGCTTCTGCAGCCAAGCGCTCTTCCTCCGCTTTCCTGGCTGCCTCCGCCGCCTCCTTGGCACGCTGTTCCTCCTCCACACGCCCGGCTTCTGCAGCTGCTTCTGCAGCCAAGCGCTCTTCCTCCGCTTTCCTGGCTACCTCCGCTGCCTCTTTGACACGCTCCTCCTCCTCCACACGCCTGGCTTCTGCAGCTGCTGCTTCAGCTGCAGCTTGTGCGGCCAACCGCTCTTCCTCCGCTTTCCTGGCTGCCTCCGCTGCCTCCTTGGCACGCTGTTCCTCCTCCACTCGCTTGGCTTCTGCAGCTGCGGCAGCTTCCGCAGCCAAGCGCTCTTCCTCCGCTTTCCTGGCTGCCTCTGCTGCCTCCTTGGCACGCTGTTCCTCCTCCACACGCCTGGCTTCTGCAGCTGCTGCTTCAGCTGCAGCTTCTGCAGCCAAGCGCTCTTCCTCCAATTGTCTGGCTGCCTCCGCTGCCTCCTTGGCACGCTGTTCCTCCTCCACACGCCTGGCTTCTGCAGCTGCTTTTGCAGCCAAGCGCTCTTCCTCCGCTTTCCTGGCTACCTCCGCTGCCTCTTTGGCACGCCGTTCCTCCTCCGCACGCCTGGCTTCTGCAGCTTCTGCTTCAGCTGCACCTTCTGCAGCCAAGCGCTCTTCCTCCGCTTTCCTGGCTGCCTCCGCCGCCTCCTTGGCACGCTGTTCCTCCTCCACACGCCTGG